TGGCCAGACAGCTACAACTAATTCTGCATCCCTTTACTTAACATAGAGATTGGGGACCATTGGAGAGAATATTGTTAACAAATTTGTCTTAATCATGTTGGGCGGCAGCAACAGCACACCACAGACTGGGTGGTTTGAAGAACAAACATTTATTTCTCTCAGTTCTAGAAGCCCCAAATCATGGTGCCAGAATGGTAGGTATCCTTGATTAAAGCTGGTGGCCTTCTTATCGTAGCTTCACCTAATGAGATCTCTTCCTATAAGAGCACTGATCTCATTTTTACGAGGGATCCAAAGGTCCCACCACATTCCAACATATAGGAATTAGGGCTTCAGCCCATTCCTATGTCTCTTGGAGGAAATGCAGTGGGGCGCTGGTTTTGGAGTGACACTCTTGTGCTCCTGACTCTCCTGTGCATAATGCTGGTCTGACTCATCCATCAGGCTTTTGTGTCCATTCTCACCAAGTAGGAAAAAAGAGAGTCACCTTCCATTTTCACTTCCTGGAGCCTTCCCAACTCAGTAGCTGCAACTACAGGTGTGTATCAATGTTCCTGGCCCCAAGTTTTCTACTAGAGTATTCATCCTCTAACAGCCTTCTAGATTTACCTTGATTCTCAGAGTAGGTTGATCTCCAAAATGGACTCCATGGGTTCTAAATTGCTGTAGAACTGGATGACGGTAACAAGCCAGGTTCCCTGAATTATATTATGATCCGGTATTCTCTAGTATAGGGAATAAAAACATTTCTAAGATATGACAAATCCCACTGTGTGTGTGGAAGGGGACATCTCTGTTTGAGAAGACTGGGTCAAGGTCTCCTCTCTGCTTAGACTGAGCTTGGAACAACCCCTTTTTAAAGTCAGTTTCCCAGAAGGACATTTGTTGGTAGGAAAAAAACTCAGGACCAGCTGGTCAAAATGTATTTAATAATTACCTTCATAAACCTATGTATCATTTCCAAAAACAATGAAGAGACACACTTGGGATGTGTGTGTACGTACGTGCGTGTGTGTGTGTGTGTGTGTGTGTGTGTGTGTGTGTTCTGATGTTCCCAACAACCTCTGAATTTGCTTTAAAAAGCCTGGCTGGGTGCTTGGATTTTGTGTGTTTTAGTACATTCTGTTGCAATGTTTTCTTTTAGGCATTTGTTATCTGCCAAGTCTGTGACATTTCTCTTATGATGTATATGTCTATGAGTCATTAAATGCTTATTGTTAATCTGCAGCTTAATTTCTGCATTGACTAATTCTTCTTTATGCACAAAGCTTGTAGGTTGGGCTCATGGCATTGACTTAAGAGTGGGTGCTGGGAGCTACAGGGAGATGTCTGAAAAGTGAGACAAACAGACCTTCAGCAATTTGTTTTCTAATTTAAATTCATCAGGACAATCTATTCTTAATTCAGGACATGGAATGATTTAGTGAGAGACTTACTGCTCACTCTTCCAGGTTTGATTTATTAGTAAGATCTGCTGACTGATGAAAGGCTTGAGATATCTTTTGGTTGACAGCTTTAAACTCTTCGTAATCTTTTCCCTGATTCCAAGTTCTGGTTTTCTTTTTTAATTATTTCTTTACAGCAAGGTTTCCTTTTTGTCATCATTTGAATCATGCAAGATACAGTTCAGTCTGGGATGTATATATCTATATGATTTGGGTTGTCATGAGGCTGTGAAATCAGTATAAATACAGAAGTTCTACAAAATTTTCTTATGGGTGGCTATCCTTGGTCATGCAAAATTATCAAGAAGATCCACTGCCCCAGCCACACCATGCCAATTTCTTCCTTGTTTGCCTGAATTCTAAAAGATGGTAAGGTTATACTGCTCTCTGGAAACTTGATGTTTCCATATGACCTAGTTCAGAGCAATAAGACAGCAGAGGAAGTACATGGAAGTTAGTGGTTTCTGGGAAGATTTTTTTCCTCACTGATAAAAAGAAAGAAGTACACGATGAAATTCCTCTCTGATTTCCCTGACTACATGCCTATTTTCTGCTTTTGATGATGGCCATGTGGAATGCTTATATCTCTGATAGCCGTTTTGAGACCACGAGGGAACGATCTCTCACATCAGAAGAATTGCAGATATGCCAAGTCTAGCATCTTGCCACAAGAGAAAACCCAGTGAAGAGGCATTTAAATCATAAAACACCATTTCCTTAGTGGTAGGTTTCTTCTTCTTCTTCTTTCTTCTTTTCTTCTTCTTCTTCTTCTTCTTCTTCTCCCTCTTCTCCCTCTTCTCCTTCTCCTTCTCCTTCTCCTTCTCCTTCTCTTCTTCTTCTTCTTCTTCTTCTTCTTCTTCTTCTTCTTCTTCTTCTTCTTCTTCTTCTTCTTCTTCTTCTTCTTCTTCTTCTTCTTCTTCTTCTTCTTCTTCTCCTTCTCCTTCTCCTCCTCCTCCTCCTCCTCCTCCTCCTCCTCCTCCTCCTCCTCCTCCTCCTCCTCCCTCTCCTCCCCCTCTTCCCCTCCTCCCTCCCCTCCCCTCCTCCTCCTCCTCCTCCTCCTCCTCCTCCTCCTTCTTCTTCTTCCTTCACTGTGGGGTTTTAACTCTGGGCCTGGATGCTGTACCTAAGCTCTTCACTTCAATGCTAGCATTTTACCACTTTGAGCCATGGCACCACTTCTGGTTTTCTGGTGGTTAATTGGAAATAAGAGTCTCATGGATTTTTTGCCTGGGTTGGCTTTGAACTGTGATCCTTCCTGAGTAGCTAGGATTACAGATGTGAGCCACCAATGCCTGGCTTGTATTAGGTATTTTCTGTGCTATATCTTTATCCTATGACTTATTGCAATGTAACAGCAACTAAATCTCAATTCTTAGAGTTCATGTCTCCATTAACTAAGGTTAAAGCCTCAGGCTCTGACCTATGATGACTCTTATTTTATACCCTCTCTCTCTGTACAAGTATATAAAGTTAGAAAAAGTATAAAATATTCCCACAATGGAATAAAATATGTGTGGATAACGCCTAGGAAGAGACCACTTTCAAATCACATTTAATTCATGCCAATCTTTAGAACAAATCTAACGAAAAAAACAGTAAAAGCAGAACTAAATAGAGGTCCTAAGATTAAAAAATATTGAATCAATATGAAATATTGAAGTCTGAATTAAACAATGAAGATGCTCTGAAACCCTACATTTTGTGGTTTTAATGAGTTAAAAACATCCTCATGTGTCCCAGACATTCAACTCTGGAGTCTCCTTTAGATCCTTTGTTACCTTGAAGTCAAGCAGGAATTGGTATTGCAGAGATCTGTCTCTTATTATGCACAAAAGAAACAGCACAAACAGGGAGCCGGACCCCAGCTCTGTACACTGGGTTCAAGCCCGTCCTTTGCTATCCACATTAAGGCCAGCAGCCTTTAAAATAAAGCTGCTTCTAAGACTTGAGCATTCTTGAAAGAACTTGGCCTTTTGTTCACCATTGCATTTACATTAAGGGCAAACTTCAGGTTAGCAAAAGGCTTAGATGTACATTCGATACTTTGAATATAACTCTTTAAGAGGGAGCCATCAAAATTACATTTGGAAAGACAGGCGTGTATGCAGTTAAGACTCATCTCAATGCAATTTTAAAGAGTTGAGATCCTACGCCGCCAGAATCAGCCTCTGAAAGAAAAAGATGAGCTCGAGTCTGCTACGACTGTGCCATTTGGATGATGACAAGATGTTCAAATGTGCTAACTCTGAGCTGGGTAATGCACTGTGACATGTTCAGACAATGAATTGAATTCCACGAAACAAGAAAGCCAGAGATACGGGCTCGTGTGCAAGTGATTAATACACTTCTCAAAGGATTACACCCAAATCAACTGCTTTCTCAGGAGCACTGTTATATCAGGAGCTGGGAAACTTCTCAACTATCAGCTGCAGCATCTCAGGAAGGCACAGTCCTCTAGGAATTCTCCAGAAGAAAAAGGTACAACCCCAAGTGTGAGTGTGGACCAGTCTTGTAGAGGCCTGGAAAGGAAGAAAAAACTGTTTGGCACTATGACCAGAGACAGCTCTTTTTACATGATTAAAGGAAGGTAGAAGAGAAAAGAGAGGAGAGCTGAGCATGTGGTACATGTTTATTATCTCAGCCATTGAGGAGGCAGAGATTGCAAAGTGGTAGTCTGTAACACAAACACAAGACTCTACTTGAAAATAAACTAAAAGCAGAACTAAGGGTCTGGTTCAGCGAGTATGAGGCCCTGAGTTCAATGTCTAGTATAGCCACAAGGTTTAATACATACATATATGTGTATGAATGGGAAGAGGTGCCAGGGATATGAAGATCTGGCATGAGACTTGGGAATTCCAGAGATGAAGCAGTCATGAAGTGTTTGGGTGGGGGAAAAGTTGAGGGCTTCCAAGCATAAAGATGTCTTTTGTTTTTGCCAAGTTGAAGTTCTTTAGTATGTAACTCTTCTTCGGTTTCTCCCCAAATCTCCAGTAAGCTCTGACAAATACAATTATTTGTCCTGAGTAGAGTTTCTTCTTGTGGGTGGGATTTGAGGGAGGAACTGCATCTTACAGCTGAACCTGTATACAGCAACCCAGAGATAATCATTTATGTGGGATAGCAAGGTGATAAACAGACTGAAAAGGGATGGGAGGCAAGGTAGCAGAAGAATTTCAAAGCACTCTCTCTTCAGTTCCAACTCCTTTATGGTGGAATTATTTGGAAATCACGAAGAAGGATTAAGCATTTAGGAATACCATCTTCTTTCTTGGAATAAGACTTATAAGGCCCATACTGAACAAAGACTTGAGGATTTTTATTTGGTCTCTTTTTTGAGGGTCTGCTGGCCGGGCTAGGGGCACATTCTGTATCTTTCTTTTCTTTTGGTTTTCTGTTGGCCATGGAGCTTGAACTCAGGGCCTGAGAGCTATCCTTGAGCTCTTTTTCACAAGGCTAGTGCTCTACCACTTTGAGCCCAGCCCCATTTCCAGTTTTCTGGTGGTTAATTGGAGATAAGAGTCTCACGGACTTTCTTGCCTAGGCTGGCTTTGAGCTGCGATCCTGAGATCTTAGCTTCCAGAGTAGTTAGGATTGCAGCCATGAGCCACCAGCATTCAGCTATTCTGTATCTTTTTCAATGCTCTGTGGACCAGGCTTGTGGTTGGCTTTGTCTCATGAGGAGCTCAATGCCAAACCTTGGCAGGCCTTTAGAAGGAAGGAGAGGAGTGGGTGAGGGTTTCTTTTTACTTGACAAGGTCCTGTGAAGTCACTTTGGGTAGAACATGACCTTGTCTGAGTATCATCATTTTCTTCACTGGTTCTGTATTTCTCTTTAGGTTTTCATAACCACTCCCTTCCTCCCTACCTTCGCCTAAGGGAGGATGAGAAACTACCTAGTTTGCAAGAAATGGAGGGAGATCTTATCCGCCCAGCACCTGGGAATTCAAGAATTAAAACTGGGAAGTTCTGTTCAAACTTGATGGAGTTACTTCTGGAGTGGTTACCAGATCCTCTTGTGTTTCCTTTACACTCTCTACAAGGGAGTCTCTCTTTGTAGATGGTCCCTTTGTAAAGTCAATCAATCAGTCTTCCCAGAATGATCTTACTCAAGCAAGCCGCTTCTCTAGTGGTGGGACTTTGAGTGTTTCATTGGGTGTTCATGAATACAGATGTCCAGTGCTTTCTGGGAAAATGAGAAAGTAATATAATCACATTTCCTGCATTTTTTTGCTCCAAATATCATCTGACTAGCATCTGATAATATTAATCTCAGCTGGATCTAACCATTATAATATTTTTCTCTGAAATATTTAAAATTATCTATTAGTGCACATAGATAGACATGAGCAGGAATAGGAAATCCTTCAGTCTACAAGATCACGCCTATTCTCAAAAGTGTAGATGGAGCACACCTGTAATCCTGTTTCTTGGAAGAGGTAGACAAGACAATCAATGGTTCAAGGCTAGCTTAGGCAAAGAAAAGATACTCTTTCTCAAAACAAAAACCCCCAAACAACAAAAAAACAAGTAAACAACCAAAAAACACTGAAAGCAAAAAAGGGTCTGGCTCAAGTCTCAGAGCACCCACCTATGAAATGCAAGGTCCTGAGTTCAACCTCACATTGAAAAAAGACAACCAAGCATAGCTATATGAACTTCCATATCTGGACAGCCACTGTGTAGTCATGAAACATTTTGGGGAGGACCATAAGAGAAGGGCTCTATTTTTTTTAATCACCTAGTAAATCTACCCTATCGGACAGTAAACCCATAAGCCTCAACAGCATGCCACAGTCAGCTGAGCGCTAACTACCTGCCTCATGCCTCAAGGTGTAATTTCACTTTGCTAAGAACTTTCTTCTTGCTGTCGTCTTACTCGCTGTGATTCTTTTGCTAAATGCCCTGGCATTGCATCCTGCGATCCATATCCTGGAGACCCTGAGACCAGCTTCAAAGATCTTGACCCCAGAGAGGATTAGAACAAGGAGTAGACCTATCTGATGATGATGATGATGATGCACAATGTACTCTGTGCTTTAAAAAGACCGATAAGGATGCTCTAGAAAACAAAAGAATGGCTTAATCAAGGCTGTGGGATCATGGGAGACTTTCTGGAGGAAGGGACACTGAATCTGGGGTTTTTTAATGATATGCAAAACTCAGGTCAACAGGTAGAGAGAGCATGGAAAGGGCAGGTGGCCCATTCCTTAGAGAGGAAAGTGTGAATATGGCTAGCAGGAGGCTTAGGACATGCCATGGTGAGAATATGGGGTGGTGGGTGGGGTGGTGGTGCTGGGTGATTTGCTGGTGGAGCAAGATGTACTATTCAATTTTGATGGAGCTGCAGATGTGAAATAGGAGTTGAAGCTGGAGAAATTGGCAAGGATGGAGTAGAAGGGGCTTGGGCCCTATACTTTGTAGGTAAGAAAGCAGCTAAATGATGGTTATTTAGAAATACATAATAGGATTGATATTAGGAACTTTAAATTCTGCTGCTTACGCTTTAAAAAGTTTACTGAGAAACATACAAAAAAATCACCACAGAAACAAAGAATAAAAAAGCAGGAAGAAGAGGGAGAAAGTAAGCTAGTTCCATATTAGGAGAAGCTTCTAGACTTGACATAAGTACACTTCCAATGTCACACATATTAGCAAGTAAATTCGCTTTGCAATAGTGCCATGAAGTTACAGCATAATCACATTGTGGGTGTGGGGTAGAGAGCAAGCAGAATGAATCCCAAAAGAAGTGAAATTTTTGAGTCGATTTTCTCAAGCCTATAATAAAAGCCCATTGGAAGTTGAATTCATTTTTCCCTTTGCATTTTCCACATTAGTAGGATCATTTTTCTTGTTTGCTGTCTAACTTTCATGGCATTTAAAAGGAAGAGGAATGTTTTATGACACTCTTAGGTTCTGGGTAGTTTAGGACACACATTTGAGGGTTACTGTGTGGCCCTGGTTTCTGATAATACACCATGTTCTTTTATTCCATTTATTAATTTGAACCTCATGAGTGTCTATGATATCTTGAGCAAATAAGTTAGCCTGGATTTAGAAATCATGACAGAGTTGCTGCTTTCATTTTCTACATTAATTTCCCAGGTCTGCCCTAACAAAATACTACAACAGACATTTATTTTCTCACAGTTCTGGAGTCTGGAAGCTCAAGATCAAACAAATTGAGTTTCTAATGAGGTGTTCTTCCTGGCTGGTCGAGATGGCTATCTTCTCTGTGTGCAGAAAAACAGTTAGAGATCTCTGGTGTCTCTTACTTTTTTATACTATCTCTGTACATGCCCTATTCCCATACACTGTCATATTGGGAGTTAAGGTTTCAACAGATGAAGTTTAGAGGGGCACAATTTGGTCCATAACATAATACTTATATGCTAGTAGAATATGATCATGATTCCAAAGAGCTTTTCTGTATGTAATTGTTCTCTTGGCTTCTGTCTTGGCAACAACCATAAGTGGTAAACTGCTGTTTAAAACTGAGCCTCCCTTTGGACTGAAGACTCAGGATGTTTTGAACTTGGCTCCATGACCTGGTTATATCAGCAGTGAATAGCAACAATACATTGTCACTTGGAGTCCAGTCCTCATTCTTCAATGCTACATCCTACCACATCACACCACACCACACCACAGACTTATGTTCTTGCTTCTGTTTTTGCTGTTAACAAAATCAAAATGCAAAATAGGCATTGGTGGATCACTCCTAAAATTCTAGCTAGTCAGAAAGCTGAGATCTGGAGGATCTTGGTTTTATACCGGGCTGTGCAGAAAAGTTCATGAGAATCCAACTGCAAAATAACCCACAGAAAGCATGAATGTAGGCATGGCTCAAGTGGTAGAGTGCCAGCCAAGCCAAGCCAAGCAAGCAGAGTGTGAAGTCTGAGTTCAAACCTCAGGACTGCCCCACTAAAAGAAAACAAAAATGTAGATATTTTATAACTATGTATGCCTTGCACACCTTGTATGAATAATCATAACTAGATCTTTCAGTCCAAGACTCACATCGTCATTTTGGAATGAAACTGCAGTACAGACTGGAACAAGCTCACCATGACACTACCTGTGGAGGTTTTCTGTTAGCAGGTAATTATCACTTGAATTTGTCACGAAGGAGTGCCTCTTACATTTTGTTTTGAAATTTGGAAATTTTGGGAAAGTTAGACCCCCACAGCGGAGCTGAGAGTCAGCCTGATATCTGTTGGTTGATATCTGTGGTTTCTCATGGAACACAATGAAAATCACATAGAGAGGGCCTGGAAGGGCAGAGAGAATAGAAATGAAAGATGAATTTCAAAGTAATTAACTAGCAATTATTGTGCAGAGAAGGGTTACGGATGCTAAGTGAATGGAGACAGACATAAAAGACCACATATCATGACTACATTTATATGAAATATCCAGAGTAAGCAAATCCATAGAGACAGAAAACAGGTTAGTGGTTGCCAGGAGATGGAGGGTGGAGGGTGGAGGATGGGATGGGAGAGTCACTGCTTAATGGGTGCCGTCTTCCTTTAGAGATGATGAGACACTCTGGAGCTGGATAATGGTGATGCTTGCACATCATTAGGGACACACTAAACGTCACTACTGATAATTTCCATGTTAGGAGCATTTTATCAGAGCACAAAAAAATATATTCATCTCCACAAATTGAAAAGGAAATCATCTTATAGGTTGGTTAATACAAGCTTTAATCTCTTCAATCACTTTCCTGGCATACCTAATCAGTAGCCATTTGGGCTGAACCTGAATGTTTTTACTAAGGAAAAAAATAAAACAATCTCGCAAAAATCAGCTCATTTCATTTTGAGGAAGCCCTAAGTATTAGAAAATCAAAGAAAGTGAATTAAAATCTATCTACTCATGAGAAATTGGGAGGACAGGAAGGAGGGAAAAAAGATAGTGAGAGTAGGAGAGAGACAGGGAGAGAGAGAGAGAGAGAGAGAGAGAGAGGGGGGTAAAGTGAGAGACTAACTGGGATGTTAGGTGTCTCAATGACTCCTGTCCTTTGCTGACATCTCTGTCTTAAGAAAGGGCGCAGTTCTAAGCAAGGGGCAGAAATCATCAAAAACAACTACAACAATAATACCCCCTCTAATCCAAGGCAAGGTCAATGAATTTTCCTGAGTAGATAAAGTGAAAGGTCTATTATGGGATATGGGAGTTATGTCTTGATTATTCTAGAATTTGGCTAGGGATCTTCAAAAATCTAATCGTTATGGGCACTGCAATAGATTGGACAATTTTTTTAAATTCAGAATTTTCATTTGAAGAAATACATTTGTACATGCCATCTTAAAAGTGAGAAAAATTCCTACTTGAAAAAAATGCAAGATACCAGAATCTATTCCAAATGGATCAAAGACATCAATGTAAGACCAAATACCCTGAAAATATTAAAGGGAAGGAATAGGGAGACACTAAGGCTCCTTGGCATGAGTAGAAACTTCCTAAGTAAAGATCCAGAATCAAGGGGTTGGGGAGGGAGGAGTTGGGGAGGTGGGGAGGTAAGGGATGGTAGGGGAAAAACAAAGGAGGGGGTAACAATACTCGAGAGGAAATGTATTCATTACCTTACTCATGTAACTGTAACCCCTCTGTACAGTAGCTTTACAATAAAACTATATATTAAAAATCCAAAATCACAAAAAATCAAAGAGAGACTGGATAAATGGAATTGCATTAAATTGAAGAGTTTCTGCATGAAAAAGGACACAGCTAGCAGGATAAATAGAAAGCCCACAGAGTGAGAGAAGACCTTTCCTAGCTATGCATCAGACAAGAGCCTCATTTTGAAAATCTATGTAGAACTCAAAATTTAAACCCTTCCAAAACAAATCCTCAGAGAAACAACAGCCAATTAATAACTGGGCTAAAGACTTAAAGAGACTTCTCAGAAGAAGAAGTAAAACTGGCCAATCGATATATAAAGAGATGTTCAATATCTTTGGTCATAAAAGAAGTGTAAATCAAAACTACTTTAAGATTCTATCTCACCCCAGTTAAAATGGCCTTTATCAAGAAAACTAATAATCACAAATGCTGGCAGGGATGTGGCCACAAGGGAACACTACTACACTGTTGGTGGGAATGTAAAACTGGTTCAACCACTCTGGAAAACAGTATGGAGGTTCCTCAAGAGATGAAACATAGAGCTCCCCTATGATCCAGCAATCCCACTACTGGGCATTTACCCAAATGACCACAAACAAGGCCATACTAAAGCTACCAGCACAACTATGTTTATTGCAGAATTATTCACCACAGCTAAGATAAGCAACCAACCCAGATACTCCTTAGTAGATGAATGGATCAAGGTATATATACACACAACGGCATTCTATGCTTCCATCAAAAGGAATGACATTACTCCATTCACAAGGAAATGAAAAGACTTGGAAAAAATCATGTTAAGCAAAGTAAGTCAGGCCCAAAGAAACATGGGTTTTATTGTTTCCCTCATTTGTAACAATTAGAATGTACCTGTAAATCTACAAGTAAGTCCAATGGATAGTAAAAGACAAAAAACTATACTTGGACATGATAAACAGGACTAAACGTTCACACGGTGAGACCAAAGGAGGATATTCTTAGGAGAGGATCTCAAGGGCTCAATAGCTGCTTGCATATGATCATATGAAATGAAGCCTGGAAACGGCGGGACAAAAGGTAAACCAATTCAGCAGCGATACTCACTAGATTCTATGTTGGAAATGAACTATAAAACTTGGGGAGGGGGTTAGGAGGAGAAAAAAACTGGGAGAAAATGAGGGATGTGGTGATACTGTTCAAAAAGAAATGTACTTATTGCTTGACTTATGTAACTGTAACCCCTCTGTATTTCACCTTTACAATAAAAATTTCAAAAATGCAAGAAAAGCACTATACTTATGAAAAATGCTATAAGTATACGCAGGCATAGAGTAAGATGTCTTAAAACAATGATGCTCCCCAAAGCTCTGATTTGATTTATAGAATACAGTTCAGGCAGGGCATGGGTAGGGCATGGAACTCAGTGACAGAGTGCTTACCCAGCACGAATGAGGCCCTGGGTTCTATCCCCAGCACCAAAAATAAATATAGATATGTAAATTAATTAATTAAAATATAATTCCCTCATGTTTCCAAAATATAAATCTATTGTATAAACCCAGGAACATGTATGTATTTTCCTTATATGCTATGCTGATAATCCAAGTAGCACTGACATGTGGTCTAATATTAAGAGAGAGGGACAGCTCGGGAATTATTTTACAACTTCACTTTACTAAGAATAAGGAAGAACAACTGAAAATCCTTGGCTCTTTGTAGGTTCAGGGAGGTTTTGGGGGGGAAGGCAGTAGAACCTCTCTACACTTCCATTCAGGAGATGGAGCGTCCCCTGTCCCTTGTCTTTATTCGTCAGCCCACTATTGGGAATAATTAGGAGCCCCCCCCCCTTGATTATTATTATTTTTCCCCAGAGAGTTTTGTGATGGTACAAAGATGTGGACTTTGTCCTTGAGGACTAACAGAGTTTTGTATTTTCAAAGCCCTGAGCTTAGATGGCTCCCGGCATCGGAACATTGGAGCAGCATCCTAATCCTACATCCTCAGTGTAGCGGAAAAATACTAGCCAGAGGAAGTGGGCTGCGAAGAGCTGTCAGAGCCTGCCCACCTTTAGTATTTGGTGATGACGTTAGACGCTTTCTGCAACCCTCCTCAGATCTGACTCAGTGTGGTGAGAAGCCAGAAATACCAGGGCATCTCAGGCAAAAAAAAAAAAAAGAGCAACCAGAGAGAGGCCAAGCGGAAGGGAAGCGCTGTTTCAGGCCCCAGGAGAAGAAGACACAATTAGGTTAAGATACAAAGACCCCAGCAAGCTGGTGACAAAGGCAAGGCCCCTTTTCTTGGAAGCTCCAGGCCCTGTGATTTGCTCTAAATCTGGGAGGGGCAGGGATCTGGAGAGGAAGGAGAAGCTGAGGACACAGCTCGCGGGTGCAAAGACTCCTCTCCTCCTGTGGGTTTATTAAGCACCCAGGCAAATGGGTGTGCAAAAGAATGGGTTTGCTGGATCACAGCTGGGTAAATGGCAAATTACGCAATTTCGCAGGCACGCATGGATCTGCAGTTGCACAGAAATGAAATTATCTGAGGCCAAGGGCTCACGGTGCCAGTTTCCTGGGCTTGAGCGTGTTCTGCCCGGCTGCTCTGCTCTGGGGAAAGCAGGCTGGATCTGGAGTTTGCAGGTCCTTTCTGTGGCATCTGAGGGAGGGAGGTGGTATTTACTCACCCGTGTAAAGAGACGTTTTAACTCTCCATCTTCCCCTCCAGCGTGCTGTATTGATTTTCCGCTGTAAGGAGACAGAAAGACCTTTCTTCTAAGTACCTTTGGAGGCAGAGTTGGCTGCAGACCCAAACTTAGTGAGCAAAAAAGCCCACATTCAGGAAAACACAGCATCTCTTTCTCTATTGCAAGTTATGTTTGTGCAATTTACTAGTTGTAACAAGTTCGTGTTTTACTGTTAGTTGTTTGGGGGGGGGGTGGGGAAGGAAACCATCAACAGATTGAAGCTATTTCATCACAGGCTTAGTCTAAACAAGCCTACATAATTAGCGTGGCTAATTAATACCTTTGTCTATTGTGCAGTCTGAGCTGACAAATTTGAAGGTGGTGCCAGTTCAAAAATGTAGAAATAATTATGTTCTAAAACTGGGCATGAGGAGCCTTTCCATAGAATTTCACCTTGAATATGCAAATGTTCCCTCTTGAAATGTAATTATAAAACTAAAGAGCACTGAAAATTCTCCAATCTGGAACTGTTCCCCTTCCCCCACCCCCAGAGTTTATAGAAATCTTGGTCTTACCTTGTAGGCATATATGCCTTAACAGTAGCATTTGGTAAAGGGAGAAAAAAAATTAACAGCTATCCCTTGCTGGAAAACAGCTTGATACACAATATGCTGAAATTGTAGTCTTAATAAAGACAAGAATTAATGTTTCATTACTTTGAAATTAAGTACTCGGCTTCTTCATTTACAAAATTAAGCATTAATCTCCTTGCCTGGTTTTCAAAAGGCCTTTTAAAACCACATAGATCCAACCTCTGTAGCTTTCACATGAGCTTTCAACTAACCTTTAAGAGAGGTAAATGCCAGGAAATATGATACAGAAGAAATTTCAGAGTCTGAGTCTGATTGTGAGTAGAAAAGACAGGCAGGATACTTGAACCACAGGGGAACTGGTTTATCAATTCGTTGAGATCTATATTTCAATTCATTTGAGATCTATTGCCTGAGAAGTTCCTGAAGGAGATCTGTGATGAATAGTACTCCCAACAGTTTGAAAACTAGACTTTCTAGTTTTATTAAATTATTAATAGCATCTGATTTGCTTTAGACATCACCCATTACAAAATTGAGATGAACCAACTTTAGGGGGGAGCTTTTAGTTACGTAGATGTAGGACAACTTTGGAGAAAGACTAGGAGAGTTCATGGAAGGAGAGCCTGTGAGATTCAGTTTTCTGAAACGTGTGTGATGGATTGATGTGACTGTGGTTGAAGACAGATGTTTATAGATGAAATTTTTAGGAGGAAACTCACTTTAAGGGGTTTACAGATGTGGCCAGAACAACATCCTTGTTAGAAATAGACATGACCAATGGAAAAAGAAAAATGAAATAAAATAAGAAGAAAGAACTAGATACAGTACAGCATCTTTACAGCAAAATAAATTTAAAAAATGAAATAGACACGACCACTCCCTGCACACCAGAAATGGGAGCTTTGGGTGCCATCAGCTGAGTGTGAGTGTGACATTGAAAGAGGCTCTATCTCACCCTTCTCCGTACCCTGAAGATGTGCTGCCATAGAGACACGTTTCTTGTCACCAGAGTATGATCAGGAGTGGGAAGAATTGCCAACATAGCCGGTTAAGGACTTGTTCTGGCAGAGACCCTATGATGCAGAGAACAGAGCATTTCAGAAGACAGGCCTAATTTTCCAGTCCATTGGAGTCCTGACTTATCTCTTGACTCGGGGATTAGGTGATGGGGGTGCCTTTATATCAAGGAAATACATTATTGAGATAAATGGAAATAGAAGCCTGAATTGGTTAATTTTAAAACAAGATGAATTGTGACATAATCACATGCCTTAAGAAACACAAGCAAGAGAGAGAGAGAGAGAGAGAGAGAGAGAGAGAGAGAGAATATGGAGGAAAAGAGAGGGAGAGAGAGACTTGTTTAAAGAAATTGGTTGGTTCACACAATTATAAAGGCTGACAATACAAAATCTGGAGGGCAATCCAGCAGTTCAGCAGTCTTGAAAGTCAGACAGGAAAGTCAGACAGGATTTCTATCTTATAATCTTGAGGGAGAATTTCTTCTTTCCCTGGAAAAACCCAGGTTTGCTTTTACGACCTGGCATTAATTGTCCAAAGTCATTTCACATTATGAAGGATAATTTACTCAAACTCCATGGATCGCAAATGGTAATTGCACCTACAAAATACCTTCACAGCAACATCTAAACTAGTATTTACCAAAACAACTAGGCATCTATAGCTTAGCTATGTTGATATGTAAAATGAACTATCTAACTGGCAAAAAGAGCAGATTGATCATATAAGATAGGAATTATACAAGATATAATTATATAAGACAGGAATTTCTAAATTAGAAATAGAACAGCACATCTGTCACAAAGCTAAGGTACAAATTAGTATGTTGTGTGGACCATGAAAAGGTATGGACAGATGGCATAGGGGTTCTTACACCACTCCTGGTGCCCCCCACCCCCCCTGGCCCTGAGTTGACCATAACCAACCCATTTCAGAGAGAAGGAGCAGCCATCTCTGTTTCAGAGGGAAGACTAAGGAAAAAAAAATCATTGAACTGCGTTAATAGAGACATATGGTGAAGCACTGGAGAACTGGAACAGACAGGACACTATGAATTAAGTTGATGTGAGGGGGAATTACTATAGTTTCTAAGCACTGGATTGACAAATACAGTGGTGCTGCTACTGAGATGCAGCATTGGTGCACAAACACTTCTGAAAGGGATGGAGTAGAACAAAAGCAATTTGGTTGATTGACAGTAGAGTAAGAATCTTTATGCATGTGTCTGGAAAGGCATACTCCTCCAGTTGCCCACCTCCTCACAGGACTAGATGGAGAAAAGACATGAAAGATGTCTTAAAGGTAAAGAGAAGGTAGGCAAATTGCAGTATGAAGGTTATTGAAGGCTAGATTATTGACAAGTGAAGTGATATGTTTTGAATTATACTCCAGGTAGACTAATACAATAAATGTTTTCTGTATGGCTTTGAGAAAGAGAAAAAGAAAGAGATAATGATTCAGAATAAATATTTGGAAGGCTAATAACTGTTATCAGTGAAGGGTAGAAATCAGGGTTGAAACTGTGGCAACTGAATAGAGAAGGCATTAAGAGAAGTCAAAGTTATGGGACCTGTAGGACAGGACATTTAGTTTGACGTAGGACAAATAGAAGTAGAAGGGAGAAATACAGATAATATCTCTAGACAATGAGAATGGAGCAGTAGACATCATGTTAATAGGATTAAAGAATTCAGAAAGAAAAATTAGTATACAAAATGAAGTAGCAAATTCTTAAGATATTTTGAATTGAATGGGCTAGTAAGATAATCTAGTAAAATTTTGGAACCTTTTGGGATGTATTGGAAATGTGATTTAGACTTTATAAAAGAGGTTAGGAGAATATATATGTAGACATATATATATATATATTGTGTGTGTGTGTGTGTGCGCGCGCGAGCGTACACGCACATGTGCATCTGCGTGTGTGCTCCTAATGGCTATCTTTATAATGTGTGTTTGAGATAAACTCAGCTATGGTATTACCTTCAGACAAACATTACTTCACACTCACAAGGACAATATGGTTTTAGTGGTTCAAATTGCCTTTAGCTGTAGATGGGTGCAGTCTAGCTATTTTCACATTCTGTAAACACTGGGGCTGTTTCTGTGGCTTTCTGTGTCTCTATTTCTCTAGCTGTAAGTTGCAATCCCATCAGGATTCTTTTCATAGCTAAGTTAATCTGTTTGCAGTATTGGTGTGGGCCTCTACTGTACCTGCTGAGACCTGATAATGGAAGTGAATTTTCTCCTCTGGCCAGATGCTGAAGCTAGTTATTAGGACAAATTTCTTCTCCTGCCCATCCAAAGTCACCTGTTAAAAACTCCCTTTCTTGGGCAAGACAGGTTGTGTCAACCTGGAGAGGGAGAGCAAATGCAACTCAACTTTTTGTTTGAGTCATATTTTTCCTTCCCATGTGTAGTATTCTCAAGGCTAGGGCGATCTCAACCCAGTTTTGTACTTTTAAATTCTGAGGATTTACTTACTTCTCTACTTTAGGTCTGCTTATGTGGACAGAAGAGAACTTAACTTTATCTTTTCTTTTGGAACCAGAGAAATTGATCCTTCATTGGGGAAAATGTTTTGCAGGGAAGTGATGGCTAAAACTTCAGGGGTGAACAATATTGTCCCTGAAATGGGATGACAGATCAAAGGAAAGGCACAGAGATGGATATTTGCATAATGTTCTTAGGGAATTAAAAAAATAGGCTTGCATAGGCTAGAACAATCTTGGAGAACAGTAGGTTGGCTATAGAAGTTCAAAAAAAAAAAAAAAAAAAAGGGAGTGTAATCAATGAGGCCCAAGACTTTGCACAACTTTCTTTCTTTGGCAATACATGGCCATTGGTTTCTTTCTTTCTTTCTTTCTTTCTTTCTTTCTTTCTTTCTTTCTTTCTTTCTTTCTTTCTTTCTTTCTTTCTTTCTTTCTTTCTTTCTTTCTTTCTTTCTTTCTTCCTTTCTTCCTTCCTTCTTTCCTTTCTTTCTTTCTTTCTTTTTTTAAAAATTTTTATTTTTATTTTTTGTGAACATACTGTATAGAGGGGTTACAATTACATGGGCAAGATAATGAGTACATTTCTTATCAAGCATTGCAGCCTCCTCCTTTGTTTACCCTTCCCATCCTTCTTTCTTTCTTTCTTTCTTTCTTCCTTCCTTCCTTTCTTTCTTTCCTTTCTTTCCTTTCTTTCTTTCTTTCTTTCTTTCTTTCTTTCTTTCTTTCTTTCTTTCTTTCTTTCTTTCTTTCTTTCTTTCTTTCTTTCTTTCTTTCTTTCTTTCTTTCTTTCTTTCTTTCTTTCTTTCTTTCTTTCTTTCTGTCTTTCTTTCTCTCCCAGGAGCCTTCTTCCAACATTTCCAATATCAACAAACTTGACCATCACAGAAGAAATGTCTCAGGAGGGAACCATCATGTGGGAATCTTCTAGTAGGGGTCAGACATTAGATAAGAAATAGTAT